CCTCCTCCTCCTCCTCCTCCTCCTCCTCCTCCTTCTCCTCCTCCTCCTCCTCCTCCTCCTCCCCTTTTCCAGCGCCAACCGTCCAACATCTGCTTCCCTTCTCAATTCAAGGAATGGCATTTTGATGGACTTGGTAAACTTGTCTCGCATTTTTGTCCATCTCTCCTCAGAACTGTGAAGGGGTTTGTGCAGTTTGAACTTGCAATGCAGTACAGGTAAGTGTGCTGATACCTCTTTAATCATTCTCGTGCTTAATTGGTATGACACACTACTGAGAGGAGTGACAAAACTCCTGAAGTCATCCTACTTGGCCTTAATGCCGAGGTTAGCAAGTCATTTGGTCCACTAAAGTAGAAATACATGATTAAGTGGAGATTATTTTCCCCTTTTTAAATCGCAAGGTTTGGTGTAATTGGGTGCTTTTGTTGCTGTTCTGCTCCTCCTGCTCCTCCTCCGTCTCCTTTACCTCCTCCTTTCAGCCCCTCTTACCTCATTGATGACAGTGTGTAGCGCCACCTGTCTAAAATCTCCGTTTAACCAACAGTAAAGTTGTTGCATAATCGTAAAGGCGACCGATGTCCTATAGAAGTCGCCTAGCAACACGGAAACAATGCCGCAACCTAAGCAACGAGCACCGCTATCGCGCGGTACAGGAAGTTCAGTTTTATGGGAGCACCTGTCACGTGAAAGGCGTTTTTAAAGGACTTCCTCTCAAAGACACAATTCCTTTTTCCGACTTTTTACAAAGCTCTAAGTAAGAAGCTGTACAAATGCGATTTAAGGTTGGAGGGAGGGGAAAGTGAAGGCCTCCATGAAGGGCAAACGGGAGGTGGACGTGATGTTCGATGCACCACAACGGCACCACAACTGAGAGTCCAGCAATGACGCACACGTTTTAAGTGAATTACCACACACACATGCACACACAGAGGCACATTTTAAATGACGCTCCTACGAGGCTTCTCGTCAGAAGGCAAAAGAAGTTTGCATACCTCTGAGTTTGCTTTTTTTTTTCTCTCTCTCTCTCTCTCTTTTTTTTCGTCTGTGCTAGAGTGCATGTGTAGGAGGTGCGTGTTTGGCGTGGTGGTGCCATGGAAAACACAAAAAAAAAAGAGGCTTCAAATAACTCAATTTTTACACTTCACCGGCAATAATATGACGTCGCGAGGGTGTCCTAATGCAAGTGGTCACTTCATTAAACCGTCTGAATGTAGAAAAATCGGTTATAGTAGGCTTGGAATTCGTAAGTGGGTCGTGCGACTTTAAGGTCACGCAGTGATTAAACAACAAACTGGCGACCTCGATCCGCGCGACCTCCGAGTGCCACTTTTAGGCGGTCAGACCGACCATCATTGGGTCTATGTGCTTCATCATGTGATTATAGGGTAGATTTGCAGTGAGGCGGTAAATTGAAGAGAATGGCACCCTCGACTCCAACCCCTCCCTCCCTAGCACGGTCTACAACCCCGAATCAGCAGACCCATTCCCCTGTTTTACCCATGGTAATGAGCTAACGAAATCGACTGAGGTCACCAGGTGGACCTGCATAAGCTCGTCTCGTCAACCAATCAGGATGGATCGTATCGCCGTAACCTAAAATCCATCAATTTTATTGCCCAGGAAGGTCTTGAAAGTTGTTGTTTGCAAACGTGGTGGTCCGTCCCACGCACTTCATTTTGACAAAGAGGTTCAAAGTACAACCGACAGGCACGAGTTGTTGCGAGGTAAGCTGTGAAGGCATGTTAAAATGCCCCTTAAGTGGTAACATATGGTGAAATGTAGCAGTGTGAAACGCCAACATTGACAGTAAAAGGTGCTGTATCCGATTCGTGATTGCAATCGAGAGTAATGAGCCGTAAAAACCGTTGTCTGGAGAAAGAATAAACTCCTTCTTTGCCGCTACACCTTGCCAAAGGCCATCTTAAGCCTCAACATCGCTTTCCTTTCCACCCAGAGAATTGGCAAGCTGACACCACCTTCCCCACTCCCCCCTCGCCCACGTGCCATCCGGCCTTGCCACCCAATTGTGATCACATGCTTGGCTCGGGTCGTCAAACACTCGCCTAAAACAGAAGAACTGGTGGTGGTCGGTGCCTGCCAGTTGGGGCTGGGTCCAAAGGGTCGAATCAGGAGCACAGCACACACTAACACTTCTGTTCACCTCTGCTATCAAATGTCAGAGAGCAACTCATAAATAAACGAGGTCCACGTTTATGGCGAGACAATAAATAATTGTCGGTGTAAAAGAGGAGTCAAAACAAAGTAATTTGGAGTTCTGATAGCCTTTATCACGATCTTCCGCTGCCTTCGATCTTCCTTTACAAGCAAATCGTGAGCATCACAATGGCGATGAGTGCGGCCTAAAGTGTGGCAGTGAAGAGAGATTTAAAAAAAAAAGACAATCATCCATTTCCCTGTTCAATAACAGGACTCTGTATGGTTAAGGCACCCACCTGTAACAAAATCGCGCTAATAGAGATGTACAATAAAATCTTCATGTTGTCGGAGGTGAATGTGACGATTTTTTCCCTGCATCCCACCACACCGGCAGTTTGAGCTGCCTGAGCAGTGCAGGAAGTAATTGCCGTAGTACAGCATTGTTGTGGTAAATTCATACCAGGTTTGTCTAATGTAAGATTGGCAAACCAATTATAAACGGACAAATCATCGGGCAAAGGTTAGTAATCATTCGTGAACCTACTAAAATCCCCATAGCCATCCATGCCGCAACAAATGGAATTCACCTATTGCGAAAAAGAATAATTAATTCAAAAAAAATCGGTGTCACTTTGTGCAAAAAGTAGCAAAGGAGGCATACCGTCATTATAACATTCCAAACAGTGGTTGCCATTTTTCCCTCATCATCAGTCTCATTGTACTTCTGGAGAAGTTTTTCTAGCGAATTGATAAGCACAGCAGTCAGTCGGGCTGGGTCGGAGAAAGCGACAGCAACAACAATTATTTGCGCGACCAGTAGAACAATCAAAATGGCGGCGTACTGGGCAGAGATAGGAAAAAAAGGGATTATCATTGGGCTTTAGTGACATGATTTTTCATTAGGGTCTACTCACTATCTTCAGTAGTATATTGCACCCACAACAAGAAGCAATGCATCCGATCAGACAGAGAGCTGCTAGCGCAAAGCCGACCACAATGAGGACTATAGCGATGCCATCTGGAAAATACATGGCATTACGGGTTGGTTTTATACTGACAAGGGTAATCGTTACTTCGGAGGTCACCTACCGGCATTTTCAGTGATAAATCTTGCCAGTTGGCGTATGTCCTCATCCCCGACATTAAAATTGTCAAATATCTTCGTCAGCAGTTGTTGGACGATAGTCTTTGAGCATTTTAATAGAATTCCAAACACCGCTACAGCCACGAAGGCCACCTAAGGCAATCAAAATAAATCTTGATACATCTTTTCTACAACATTGAGCTCAAAGGCCATTGTATTTCCACCACGTCACTTACGCAGAGGACAGTGTTAAAGAGCTGAAGGATAAGCTTTAACCCGCACGAAATAATACAGCCCATGCTGAAGGGGAACACAGAAGTACGTTAAAGTGTGTGCGAGGAGCCGGAGATTCGCACTGTTTGACCACAGCAAATCAATCAAGTAAACTCACCCTTAAGTAACTCCCTGAATCACCCTCTACCTTATGAACAGGCGGTGCAGTAAGATCACATTTTAAGTAAACGCAAACTCACCCCCATCCAATGTTATTCGCGTTCCCACGGTGATTGTGCACATCACTGGCCGCAAAATGGCCAATCAGAGTGGAGAACTGGGTGCTTTTAAAGGTGATTGGTTAATTGCCAACGAAGCATTTATTCAGTGCCCAATCTCAGTCTTCCATTGGGGGGTAAGTTTATGTGGGTTGAAAGACCTGTCAATCCAGTGATCCTTTTACGCAATGTGTTGAGGTGCAAAATTTTGCAAAATTTGCATTTTGTGCAATTCTCAGGTGATGCTCTTCAACTTGCTCAAAGTACTTTTCTGCTACATCAGTCAAACCTCATATACGCCTCGGAGTCAGTGAAAAACCAAGTAGGATTTGACGACACTTTCTCATCGCACGCGACATAGCGTTTGTAAAGGAGTAAAAAAGTAGAGGCATTACATCAAACCCTGTCATCAATAGTTGACGGGTTGGCAATATGTAGGCGATGGACTCATATCCTCCAACTTTGTGCATACTGATAGGTTGTAGCTGTTGCCTCGTGAACAAAGGCACCAATAAAATGAACTGGTTGTAAAATCCTCCTCAATTCACGGTGCATAAGGTCGCCAAGTGATTTGGTGGTAGTGCATTCACAAAATTTGCCAATTTACCACCCATCCTGCTTTCACATATTAATGCCGTAATTATTAACAGACAGCTGCCTTTACACGTGGCTTAAAGCCTATCGAAGTTGTGGGCCTTTTTAATGGGGAAAACCATCCACAGGGCTCTAAAATCACTCCTATGCATAAAAAGACGCGCATGCGTAAGAAAATCCGTACGGAGTGTGCGTGGATTCCGGTCAGTGTTTTGCTAACCTTGGCCTTATTAGCACACAACATTCATCTAAAGGCAGTTGCAGACAAGCATGCGACACAATGCCTTTGCAAGGCGTAGCAAAAATTGCGGTTTATCCTGATTTCTACCTATATAGGATCAACAAGAATCTATTTCGCACTGTGACCGCGGTCAAGCAAATCCTGTCTTAGCACACACAAGTCTGCCAAAAGGGGTACTTGAAAAGCAATCAGGAGTTGGGCTCTTCGATAAAGTAACTCGTGAACTTGCAAGAAGAGGAAAGGAGTAGGTGAAAATCAGTAACTTCTTCATGCCGAAAGTGACTCTTTATATAACATTGCTGCTTGCTTCTATGCATTGAGCAATTTTACTGCCTTATTTATTAGTTTAAGATGGAGAGAAAACAGAAGAAATGTGTAAAGTTGCAAGGAGACACCAGCATGCATGGAAAGTGCTCCAACAAGTAACGATTCTGGAACTCTGTCAGGTTTGATAATTGCACCGCGCAGTTTTGCTTGTATCCTGATGGCTGCAGGGGGACCAAGGGTGCACCCTTCTCTTCCCTTTCAGCTGTGCGTGATGAAAGACGATCTACCACCTCGCCACCATCATCACTAGTGGCCAGACCCTCCAAGCCATGAGTCGAACGCATCGCATTCCCCACAATCGTGGTAAGACGTGACTACCCCACTGACATCGACTGTGAGTGGGTGTGAGTGAGTGAGTGAGTGACCCATCAACAAGCAGAAAGGAGACGCCTCTTCTTGTGTGCTGACGACTTCATCGAGGGTGGATGGCAGCGAAAATGGGTGGACGTGTGAACGGGTGAATGGGTGGCGGGATGGATGTGTGGAAGCGGTGGGGAGGGTGACACTGCAAGCATTGGCAGAAGTGGTGATTGTGTGTGCGAGGATGGATGACAGGAAGGTCAGTAGTATGGCAATTGGTGACAAAAGTTTCCTTCCACTGCTACGCATGCGCAGACAGACTTGAATTATATGCCGTCACCGAAGGATCGAAGCCTTATTTATCCTCCTCGTCCCTTGCTATCCATCCTTATATTTAGGATCTACATATTTTCTCTCCTCTCCTTTGTCAACAGGCTATTCTTAGCACTTCGCCTCGCTGGCATCAGCGCACACACTCTTCTCTCCGTCTCTTCAGCCTCCGTATCTCCTATGCTTTCCCAGTGAGGATAGCTGAAGACACACGAAGTTGGTTTATTGGGCAAAGGACATGGGAATGAGCCCCACAAGTCCGTGTCAAGGCGAAGGTCTCCATCCGCTCTTCGATTTGTCAGAGATCCCTTCATTACTTTTAATTATGTCAATATGGATTATCATGTGGCATGTAAGCATCAGTGGAAGGTGGAAGGACCCACCTTTTGGCCTCACAAACCTCCTATAAGGGCAACAACAACGATTCTGATCCTTCGGTAATTCCTTCATCTTTGTTTGTCACTTTTTTTTCTTTTCCTCATCTACACCCTCATTGAGTGGACATTCCGCATTACCTCTATTGACTAAGTCAAGGGACATTTTAATTACTTTCCACTCGCATTCTTTCGCCAACAGGATGTTACAATGAAGAGCCCACCACCAGGACAGCATCATTTACCACCTTCCCTCCAACCTATGAACGGCACAAAACATATCATAAACGCAACAAAAAAACCTCTGATTTATTGAAACAAAAGGAACACGTAGTAGTAAGTGGTAAAAAAGGGTTTTGTAAGAGAAATTTTAATGATCTCTCGCCTTCGGCATTCACCTACAGGCAAATCGCGAGCATCACAATCACGATGAGTGCCGCCTAAAAGGCAGACGTGGATGTCAATAAATGCCTTTTGAGTGCCCCGCTTAATGGTAGATGCGAGGAGGGTGAGGACGGGGCTTGAGGACTCACCTGTAACAGGATTGCGGCGATGGAGATGTACATCATCGCCTTCAAGTTATTCTTGGTAAAGGTGGCGAGCTTTGCTTTGCATCCTTTTTTACCAGCCTTCTCAGCTTCAGCTTTATCACATTTATTGGCCCCTTTATCGCAACATGTCTCAGGCAATTTTGTCTTATCAGCTAAAAATATAATAAAATTGTAAATTTGTGCAATGACACTAAAAGAAGGTTTCAAGCTTCATTCGAACGTACGGAAGTCACTGTAACCATCAAAGCCACAGCAAGTAGGTTCACCCATCTGTAAGGTGAATGCATTGTATAAGTGGGTAGTTAAAGTCACGTTTTTTTAGAAGTAAAAAAATAATTAAGTTCTTTTTTAGGTTCATACCCCCATTAGACAATTCCAGACAGCGGTTGACATTTTTCCTTCATCACTATTCGTTCCATATGACTTGAGAAGATTTTGCATAGATTTGGCTAGCCAACTACTGAGTCTATTGGGATCGGAGAACAAAACTGCAACAGCGATTATTTGTACGACAAGAAGAATAATCAGAATGGCAGCATACTGTGTAAAGGAAAGAAAAAAAACCATCGTTATTAATTTGATGACTTCATTTGTTGCCAAATTACTGCTCGGAAATCTACTTACAATCTTCAGTAGTATGTTCCACCCACAGCACGAAGCAATGCATCCGATTAGACAGAGGGCTGCCAACACCAGTCCGACCACAATGAGGATTATAGCCAATCCATCTAAAAAAGATAAGTCATGTCGCTACGATACTACTAGAGAACATGAAAGCAGTGTTAGATTATCTAGGATGTAACCTACCTGCGTTTTCGGTGATGAATTTTGCAAGCTCTTGCAATTGTTCGTCATCTGGCTTCTCATTTTTTAAAACATTGGCCAATATTTTCTCTACTACCCCCTTTGATGATTTCAAGAGAACGCCAAACACTGCTACAGCCAAGAAGGCTACCTACAGTAAAAGGGTCTTTTTAGTTTACGGAAAACGTGTAAAGATTGTAGCGTCTCAACTGCATTAACTTACGCAGAGAACAGTGTTGAGAATTTGAAGAACAAGCTTTAATCCACACGATATTACACAGCCCATGCTGAAATGAGACAAAAGATGGAATAAGAGTATGGAGAAGTAGAGCGATAAAATCACAGTATTTTGAGCACACTGGTAACTTTAGAAGACTCACCTAGATTGTATAACCTGATTTTGCCTGTAAAACTGGAGGCATACTCGGTTATATTTAAAGTCAACTTAACTAGACTTCAAGCCAATCATGTTAGCACTATCACTGTGGATTCACACATTACTGGCCGTGAAGTGACCAATAAAAGCAGAGAACCCCGTGTTACTGAACACGATTGGTTACGTTAATGATTGACCAATCATTTCCTCTCAAGGCGTCACTTAGTTATTCAATATTTGTTAATACTCGAGTACTTTTGCGTAGGCTGCCTCTCCATTGATTGTTGCGCACGCTGTCATATTGTCATAATTTGCGTTTCTTGCTGTTGTTGTGTGAAAACTTCTTCACCTACGAAACTTTTCTAGTTTGATAGTATTTACTCAAAAACAGGACAGATGGCTTGAAGGAAAATTCATCTAATTTAACCAACTTTTGCACATATGCCTCCTTTCTCAATCATTAACACATGATCATTGTTACGTGCTATGGCGCATCCATGTTCGCTGATTAGGAAAGATGTGTTATGTAAATTACACCAACATGATCGTCTTTGGGATTTTTACAAAAGAGGATTAGAGCCACATCCATTGTCGCATGAACACTATCGTTTATGAAGATCACAGAGGACAAATCATTGCCTATAATACTAAGCATACCCACTAACTTGATGAGAAAGTATATGGAAGAGAGAATGTCCTCCTGCTTGATTTTATGGAGGCGATTTTAAATAGTAATCAGTTTGTCAAACAAAAGAGTAGAGGAGACCTGCTATAACTCCTACATATGCAAACGTCGGTGAGCAGCTGCAGGTCAAAATTACCCTTAAACTGCTGGTTAAGCCTAAAGCGAGATGTGGGAGGACAATGATAGCCGGTCTCGTTCATAACTTGTACCTGACTCCAAACTACGGTTTTCGAGGTCGTCACAGTCCACTGGTAGAGGGAATACGTCCACGTATGCGTTACAGACATGACGCCAAACAACGCCTTTGCTCTACTGACCAGTATTTTTGGGTCACAAACTTCACCCTTTGTCTGAATAATTAATTAGATGTGGCTTACACTTCTAAGGGAAGTGCTAGACGCAATGATAGACTAAGTCTGGCTTCGTACTACAAACTCAACAAGTGGTTGCAAACCTGTTTCAAAATCATTCGACGACTTGCGATCATTCAGTAGAAAATATTTTTTCAATATTGATAGACGTCTCAAAAATTCTGTATTTTATTAACTATCCCTTTCTTCGTCTTTACATGGTTGTATTCAGGATGAGCTGACAGAAGACAAGTGCTTGAAGTAACATGTTGACATCAACTTGTACGAAAAGTGCATCAACAAATAATCTCTAGAGTGAACCATGACAAGCGATAATTGTACTGTGTGGCTCCGGGTGCATTGTGATGGCTGCAGGGGGACCAAGGGTGCACCCTTCCCTTCCCTTTCAGCTGTGCGTGATGAAAGACGATCTACCACCTCTCCACCACCATCACTAGTTGCTCCTCCACTAATCCACTTCACTCGTCCTCCGTTTCGCACTGCTTGCAGACCCTCCAAGCCATGAGTCGAACGCATCGCATTCCCCACAGTCGTGGTAAGTCGTGACTACCCCACTGACATCGACTGTGAGTGAGTGTGAGTGAATGAGTGAGTGACCCATCAACAAGCAGAAAGC